CTAGGAAACGCTAAGATACATCTCCGGTTCTTTTTATTTAATTATTTATTTTGAGACAGGATCTCACTAAGTTGCCAAGCTTGGCCTTGACCTTGTGATCATCCTGCCTCAGCTTCCCAATAAACTACTGTACCTGGTTTCCATGACCAATTCTAGTGTGCAGACTCATTCTTCTTTTTTTTTTTTTTTCCTTGCAATGCTGAGGATAGAGCCCAGGGCCTCACTCACTTGAGGTAAGTGCCTTCTCTACCGCTGAGGCACATCCCCAGCCCAGCAGGCTCACTCTTTCAGCCTCTTCTGCTCAGCGGCTCAGCCTGACTACTGACTCTCAGATTTCTAACTGCATGAACTCATCTCAAGCTCTTCAGTGTGCCCTTTCTACCTTGAGCCCAAGCTCTTTCACCCCTTCCCTGAAGGACAATGGGGTTCACAGTAGAGATCACTCTAAAAATTCTCTTTATCCCTTTGTCTCTGTGTTATTCAGCTTTCAATTACTGTAACAAATGCCTGAGACAATCAACTTAGAAAGAGAAAAGGTTTATTTTGGCTCACAGTTTCAGAGGCTCCAGTCCAGGATTAGTTGTTTCTGTTGCTGTTGGGTCTGTGTTTTGGCAACACATTGTGGCGAGGAGTGTGTAGATGAAAAAGACTCACCTTGTGGCCAGGAATGAAAGAGAAAGTGGACGGGGCTGGGTTCCTGCTACATTCTTCTAGGTCACATCCCCATTGATCTAAAGATCTCCCGCTAGGCCCTACCTCTTAAAGCTTCCACAACCTCGAAACAGTGCTGCTCTGGAGAACAAATCTTTAACATATGGGCCACTGGGGACAGTCCAGATCCAAACTAAAGCACTCTCCATTTTTTCTAACTCCTTCACATTCTTAGCATATGAAAGGAGAGTTAAAAGCCATGGGGGTCAGGGATTTAGCTCAGTGGTTTCTCTGCCTTCTGCGCAAGTGCAATGACCCGAGTTCGATCCCTGGTACCAAAAAAAAAAAAAAAGCCATTAAATCAGCCAGTCATGGTAGCACATGCCTGTAATCCCAGCACTCTGGAGGCTGAAGTAGGAGGATTGCCACAAGTTCAAGGCCAGCCTGGACACATAGTGAGTTCAAGGCCAGCCTAAGTACATAGTGAGACCTTGTCTCAAAACAACAACAAGCCATCAAATCAGTTCTCAAACATCTCCTTTCAAACTTCCGCTTAGTCATCTGTCGTGCAATTCACTTTGGTTTCTTATATCTATTACTTAGGTGTCTTTTTTTTTGTACCGGGGATTGAACTCAGGTCCTTGCACTTGCACAGCAGGTGGTGAAACCACTGAGCTAAATCCCCAGCCCTTGCTTAGGTGTCTTGGTCAAAATCTCTCAATTAACACCTTGTACCATGTGTATGTCACTGCACACTGTCTTCAAGCTCCTCACCTCCTGTCCTCCCTTCATCCCAGCAGGTGATCTTACATCTTGTTTTTATCAGGCACAGATACCCTGTGTTCTGCCCCCGGAGCCTACCATACCTACCACATTATCTCACCTTATCTCTTCACCAATCCCAGATGACTGGCCCTTCCTATTTGGATTACATGCTGGTACCATCCTACTAGCTCAATCAATGATCCCTTCTTTTCTAGTACTTTAAAAAGGTAGCTCTTTTTATAATTACAAAACTATATGTAACTTAAAAATCAAATATTCTTTTTTTTTGTTTTGGTACCAGGGATTGAACTGAGGACCTTATGCTTGCCAGGCAGGTGCAGAGCCACTGAGCTAAAACCCCAGGCCTCAAATATTCTTTTTTTTTTGGTACTGGGGATCGAACTCAGGTCCTTGCTCTTACTCAGTAGGCAGCGAATCAAATATTCTTACATAATAAATATTTGGTGCATAAAAGGGAATAATAAAATATTTTTTTAAAAACCTAGCAGACAATACAACTCAGTGGTAGAGTGCTTGCCTGTGAGACCCTGATTCAGTCCTCAACATTCCAAACCAAACCAAATCAAAACAAACAAAAGCAGCAGCCTGGTTTCCCAGAAGTTACTATTTTCAACTCTTGTAAATTTTTCTAATATTTATCAATTTTAGATATTATATATTGATTTCCTGTCTTAGCAGATAAGATTTTATCTCTTCTGGCTTTCTCTCCCTCCGCTCCATCCTATAGATATTTTACAAATTTTGCTTAAATCCATATTCAGCAATTTCATTTCTATAATTTTGTAAATCTTACTCAGTGCTGAATCAAGCCACGTTTGATAATATTTCCTTCCTCCAACCATGTTTTGGTTTTCCTGGAGTTAAAAATTGTAATACTTAAATATGTACATTTAATTACTATTTGTCAATTAAAAGTTAAAAAAATGTTTTTAATTGCCTAATATTTCCTAGGCTCAGTCTTCTAGAATCTTCATTAAATACCTCAATATAATATTCTACACACTAGGGCTGGGGACTTAGCTCAGTGGTTCCACCACCTGCTTCGAAAGCCCAAGGGCCCAAGTTCGATCCCTGGTACCAAAAAAAAAAAAAAAATTCTACACAGTCAAACCTATGAGATCATCTATCAGCTCCGTCCCCTTTCTATCAGCTCCAACCCACCTTCCTTTCTAGAAGCCTCCACTCTGCTCCAGTCTGCAAGTGTTTCTCCATCTCTGCTGCATAGCTGTTGCCCCAAACATCTCTTGACTAATGTCCTAGAAAATCCCTTTGCTTCATTCATGTGTATTTTGTGTCTTTCTCTTTCATAGGTACCCTCTTGTTTTATAAAATATATTCTCTAATGGTGTCCTTTAAAAATGTCACATGGAGATAATATTTTTGAGATCAAAATGTCTAAAAATTTATTTTCATCTAGCTACATTTGATTAAAGGTTTGGCTGGATATAGAGCGCTGGACTGTACCAACTGTTGCCATGTTTCTCCTTTGTTTTTACGTGTAATGTTACTATTAGAAAGCATGCTGCCATTTTGATCCTGGTTCTTTGTACTTTTTTATGGTGCTGGAGATGGAACCCAGGGCCTTACATGTGCTAGGCAAGCACTAGGTAGGCTAGCTCTGCCACTGAGTTACTCCTCCAGCTCTGATTCCTGGTTCTTTTATGTATTTTTTCTTTTTTTCTAGAAGCTTCTAAGTCTATGCCTTGGTGGAAATCTTTTTTCCTTTGGTTTTTTTTGGGCATTGGTAGACCCTTTCAAACTTCAGGAAATGTATTCCTCTGAATTCTTGGAAGTGTTCCTGCACTGTTTGTTTCTTTTATCATTTTGTCACACCTCTCTCTCTCTCTCTCTCCCTCTCTCTCTTTTTGGTACCAGATATCGAACTTGGGAACTTGCACTTGCAAGGGAGGTGGTGGAATCACTGAGCTAAATCCCTGGCCCTACCTTTCTTTAATATGTCTCTTTTTTTGCATATTGGTTTGGTCGGATGTTGGAGGTACTGAACTGATACAAAGATATTAAATCCCTGTATTTTTTCCTGACTTCTAAGAAATTTTCTATAAATTTTCCAATTGTTGTTATAACAAAATACTACACAGTGTGACTTTAAAAACAGATTTATTATTTTCCAGTTCTGAAGTAGAATTGCATTCCTTCAGGAAGCTTCAGGAGAGAATCTTTCTTTGCATTTTCCAGAGTCTAGAGGTCGCCTGCCTACCTTGACTTATGGCTGTTAACTCTGTCTTTAAAGCTCGAAGTACAGCATTGTCTCATCTCCATGTGTCTGTCTTTGCCTCTCTCTGACTCTGACCCTTCTGGCTGCCTCTTTCATAAGGACTCTTGTGATCACATACTCAGATTATACAAGAAAATCCTCCATATCCAGTTTCATAATCTTATCTGCTAAGTTGGAATGTTGCCCAGGCTGGTCTAGAACTCCTGAGCTCAAGCAATTCCCCTGCCTCAGCTTTCAGAGCTAGAACTAGATGCATGCACCACTATACCAGGCTTAGTTTTCTTGAGTGTAACTGTTATGGTTTATATCTAGTTATCCCTCATGCAGTCATAGATTAAGTAGGGCTTTTGGGAGGTTACTCGATCATGGGTATGTGATACTAGATATTGGTGTATGGCACTGGATTATTCCACTGATGGGTTTATAGCTGGGTGTGATGTTGGGAGGTGAAGCCTGGTGGGAAGAGGTGGGTCACTGTGGGTGTGACCTGGAATGGTTATATATCTTTCCTCCTCCCTTGGTCCAAGCCCTGCTTCCTGCCTACCTTGCCATGGACTGTTTCTCCTCTGTCATACCCCTCTGCCCTGCCATCCAGCCTTGGAGCCAGCTGACTATGGACTGAAACCGCTGCAAACTGTGAGCTAAAATAAACTTTTTCTTCTTTAACTTGTGGGTACCAGGTATTTTGTCCCAGCAATGAAAAAGTAAGATAGTATCATTTCTTTTTTTTTTTTTAAATGGTGCCAAAAGTTTATTTGAAAAGTGAGGGCTGAAGGGGTAAGGAAAAAACTTGCTCTACAGAGCAAACTGGGGCTGAACAAGAGAGAAAGAATAAAAAGAGCAAAATTAAAAGTACACCCTGTGTCTGGGAGACACAGTGTGGGCTGCTGTGAAAAGTCATGATAGTGGGCTCCTTGTAGGGTCTGGTCTCCTTTATGACATCCACATCACATGGGAGCCCTTGAGAAGTTCTACATATGGGGTCCTGAGAATCATCTGTTGCTGCCCTGGCATCTTGCAATTGACAGTCCTACCTGTTTCCTAGCCAACTTTGCCATGCCCTACCTCCTATATCTTTTATCCCTGAGAGACATAAATCTTTACGGGGGTGATGAAGGAGTGGTGGTCTCTGTATTCTATGGCTTCTTCAAGCTGGAAGAGGCTATAGACCTCACCTATTAGGGACTATACACTCTCCAACTACCTTGGGTGTAGTGGCCCCTGGCTGGGTTGAAGAAAGAAAAACCTCCTCGGGATCTTGGAGGTTACTGATATCCTGGCTCCTTGCATAGGTCTAACAGATTACTTGTTCACAGGAGTGGCTCACCTTTGGGCCTGTTCCATTCATCAAGGATACAGCCTAGAGGTGAAATCAGTGGAATCTGTGTGGTGACAAGATCCAATAGATTTTCCATCTGCTTGACTTGGGACCTATAGAGAGGAGGAGACATAGGCCTGCACTCCTTAAGGTAGCATCCCATGCATAGGAAGGAGACCTGAGGGTCACAAAGCATGCTTTGTGAGATCCTAACACAGACTCGACGGATGTCTCTGTTCCAGTGATGCCGCCATCATAGGGAGAAGGGGGCTGGGCCATCTGTTGGCCTGTCTAGTCCAAACTCCCATAAGGTAATGGCAGAAGTTTCCGAAGCAAAGTTCTTTTAACCACCTAGTTGAACCCCTTGATGGCCCAATTTGTATTTATTCTAAGCCTCTTAATGGCTTAGCTGATATTTCAAGTCCCTTGATGACTCTACTGAAACCATAATGGAAAACATCTCTTGCATTTACTCTGTTGGAAAAAGTACTAAGAACTGGGATGGTTCTGTGTTTATACACTCACAGTTACTTTAGTTAGATTTTTAAATGCCAAATGTTGTTCTGTTCAGACATCAGGCATAGGTCTTTAACTTATCTGCATTTAAACAGGGAAGCACAAAAGCCAGGTGGCAATGGCCTCAGGCAGGCTCTTGAGGTGACTGAGGCACTTGATTTTGGCCAAAAAATCTTGGGCATTTAAAAATGGACAAGTCGTCTAGGCATGGTGGTGCCTGCCTGCTTGTAATCCCAGCACTCGGGAGGCTGAGGCAATAGGACCACCACAAGTTACAGGCTAGGACTGTTCAAGACCAACCTGAACTAAATAGAGATCTTGTCTCAAATACAAACAAACTAAACTAAAAAACAGACAAGGTTTTTTTCTCTTGTACTCGTACCTTCCCCCAGCCGGGTAAAATGGGTCACACCCTGCCAGAATAGCAGCAGGCCTCTGAGATGGGAGCAGACCTCCGGTGTTGTCTGAGGGCTATATGCACCTGTATTTGCCTGGTGCTGCAGCCCAAGTTTCCTGAGTTTTTAAAGGGATAGTACATTATATTTCCTTCATGCTGAAAGAAAGAAAAAGGTTCCTCTCTCTGGTTTTCTATAAGCCCATATGCTGTTTAAAATCAGAGGCTTAGCTCCTAAGGCCAGTTATTAAAAAATAAAAAGGAGATAGAGAGAAAAAGATGGTGGCAGCCAATGATGCACACCTGTGTAAAAGTTATACATAGTCATACAACAAGACAAGATGGCAGCTGGCTACATGGCAAGGTAATGTGGTGCATCCCTGACCAAAACACAAACTGAGAAAATGCCATTTACAAACTAAAGAAAGCAGAGACCAGGCTAATTTAGCAAAATGCACAATAAACAAATATGCAGACAACAAGGCATACCTGAGGAGTGAACACAAGCGGCTAGAAAGAAAAACAAAGGCCTACATTCCCTTCCCCCATCCCCACAGCTGGTCCAGGAAGCTTCTCCCTGGCTCCTTGAGAAGAGTCCCCAGTTCCCAGCTTAGGGGAGAGAGTGAGGGAAAGTAAGAGAGAAGAAAAAACAAAAGCCTCTAGAAGAGAAACAAAAATTGTGCCCAACATGGACCTTACCTTGGTCTCTGGTACTTGAGCTTTACTCTCATAGCTGGCCACACCAAAATGTTCTCTTTTTGGCTGGCCATGCCAAAATATTATCTCCTGCCTGGTTCTGCCAAATGTTATTGGGTAGTCCCTTTAGAAATGGCTCACCAATTAAAAGCATTCTGGGTCCTTCTTACCTCAAACACAGAAATGGATGAGACAAGCCAAAAATGGTGCCAAATGTTTATTTGAAAAGTGAAGGGTGAAGGGGTAAGGGAAAAATTGGCTCTGCAGAGCAAACTTGGGCCAAACAAGAGAGAAAAGGATAAAAAGAGCAAAAATAAAAATACACCCTGTGTCTAAGAGATGCAGCAGGGGCTACCATGAAGAGTCATGGTAGCCAAAAATAACACTTCTATGCTACTTGAATAACTGAACATTTTCTTTAGAAACATTCTTCCTTTGACTTTCAAATCACCATTCTTTGCCCCTCCACTTTGATTTTTTTTTGTCCATTTCTTTTCTTCTTTTCTGTTCCTTTAGATTGCATTCTTTTTTTTTTTGGTACCGGGGATCGAACTCGGGTCCTTACACTTGCACAGCAGGAGGCGAAACCACTGAGCTAAATCCCTGGCCCTTCTGTTCCGTTAGTGTCAGTCTTCCTTGGACTCCGTTCCTGGCCTTTTTTCTTCTCATTCTTCCTTCCTTAGGGTATCCTACTTTCATCTACTCTCAACTGTTCAGCAATCAGGTGGTGCTGATGACTCTCAAATCTACATTTCATTAGATATACTGTAACTCTTTGTATGAGGTTCTGACCGCTCCTGTAACAAATTGGTCTAAACTTGGTTTACAACCAGCAGAAATGAGCTGGCGTGGTGGTGCATGCCTGAGATCCTAGCACTGAGGGAAATTGAGGCAGGAAGATTGCAAGTTCAGGTCTGACCTGGGCAACTTAGTGAAAGCCTGTCTCAAAAAAACCCAAAAAACCCCAAAAGTAAACAAAACAAAACAGGGCTGGGGATTTAGCTTAGCGGTTCCACCACCTGCCTCAAAAGCGCAAGGACCCAAGTTCAATCCCTGGTACCAAAAAAAAAAAACCCAAAACAAACAAATCAAAACAATCTATTCTTTTAGAGAGTTGTGAATTTTTTTCCCCTTTCTTTTTGCCATGCTGAGGATTGAATCCAGGGCCTCATGCATGTTAGGTAAACACTCTACCACCAAGCTATACCTCTGTCCTGCAGTACTGTCTCAAATCAAGGGTTGGTTTCTCTTGGAAGCTCAAAGCAGAAACTGTTCCAAAGGTCTCTGTCTTTGCTTCTCATTGTTGCCAGTAATACTTAGAGCTCCTTAGTTTATAGATGCATCAGTCCAGTCTCTGCCTCTGTTTTCCCATGGTATTCTTTTTTTTTTTTGGTACTGGGATCCAACTTGGAACCTTGCGCTTGTGAGGCGAGGCAGGCAGCAGAACCACTGAGCTAAATCCCTGGCCCGTCCCATGGTATTCTTTACGTGTCATCTGTGTCTTTACCCTGCCCGGTAATAAGAACAGCAGTTATTGTATTTAGAGCCTACCCTAATCCAAAATGACCTAATTTTAATTTACCTTATTTTATCTTCAAAGATACTATTTCCAAATAAGGTCACATTCTGAGGTTCCAGGCAGACATGAACTTTAAGGAGAAACTACTTACCCCATATACCATATACTCTTCAACTTCAGATGTGAGTAGTCAACTACTTCCCAGACATCTCCAATTAAACAACTAATTCCTCAACTTCCAACAGATTCCTCAAACCCAACACAGCAAATCTGTTCAGATCATCTCCACCGTTGTCTCTAACCCCAGCCTGATCTTCCTTTGATATCTCAGAGATGGACCCATTTAAACCAAAAATCTAGGAATCACCCTTGAAACCTCTCTTTTTCTCATTACCATATCCAGCCTTTGGCTGAATTTTGCTAATTCTACCTCCCTAAAAGTTCTCTTTGTGGCCACTTTTCTAGCTTCATTATATCGTTATTTTATTTTATTTTGTATCAGTTACTTTAAGTGTGGCTGCAAGTATGGAAACTCTATTGTAAACTTGCTTAAACAATAAGAAAATGCTGTAGTTTACTTAATAGAAAATAAACCAGTACAGTAAGCTTTGGGCTTGGTTCATCCAGTGATGTTTCAGTGACCTGGCTTTTTCCGTTTTATTGTTTTTGCAGCAAATTCCTTAAACATTCTTAATTCTTTTTTAATTTCCTTCCTTCCCCCTACCATCTCTTGGTCCCCTTCCCATTTGCAAAAGACCTCTCTCCCCCTCTACTATTATCTCTCTTTTACTTTGCTCTTTATTTATATTTTGGGTTTCTTATATAAGAGAAACCATGAGATATATAAACTTGTGTGTCTGATTTATTTGACTTAACATTATGGACTCAAGGTGCATCCATTTTCCTATAAATGCCTCAAGTTTATTCTTCTTTTTCACCGCCTGCTGCGCAAGCACAAGGACTCGAGTTCAATCCCAGGTACCAAAAAAAAAAAAAAGTTTATTCTTCTTTAAGGCAGAATAGTACTCTAATGTGTGTAAATGCCACATTTTCTTTACCCATTCATCTGTTGGTGAACATATGGGCTGCTTCCAAGATTTAGCCATTATTATGAATTGTGCTGCTATAAATCATAAGTATGCAGAAGGGGAGTGCCTGTGTCTATACTGATTTCTGTAGTGGTTGTACTAGCTTACATTTCCACCAACAATGTAGAAGCTACCCCTCGGCCTTGCCAGCATCTGTTATTATTTGATTTCTTGAAGATAGACATTCTTTCTGGAGTAAGGTGAAATCTCAGTGTTGTTTTAATATACATTTCTCTAAAGGCAACTGTTTCATTTCTTTATTAAGATTTATCTTAAAAACCTAAATGTCCACATTCTTATGGCTAGAATTTCTATTTGATTCTCTTTCAAACCTACCCTTCCTTCAAATATCTTACTCTCATCAAGTAAATGCAACTTCTTCCTTTATATATTAGAACACGTGTGTGTGTGTGTGTGGTACTGGAGGACAGAACCCAGGACCTTACTCTACCACTGAGCAGCATCCCTATCCTTTTTCAAAAATTTTAATTTTGAGACAGATTCTCACTGTTGTCTAGGCTGGGTTTGAATTTGCAATCCTCCTGGCCTTGGCCTCCCAAGTAGCTGGAATTACAGGTGTGCGCCACTAGGCCCAGTTACTTGAACATTTTAAGCATATAGTTTAAACATATTTCAGAAATTGAAGCATTTTTTCAGGTTGTCCTTTCATCTATATTTCCTTGGTTATAAATTTCTTCATTCACTGCTTCTGTCATCTCTCTATCATGGCAATTGCTTCTTTATTGATTTGTTTCTTCAGAGGGCAGAGTATTACTCATTTTCTAGATTTTGGACAAATTCCTATAGGGGCTGTTGTGTGTTTCTCTATGTGAGTATTTTCTGTATTTCATCACTTCTGGACAATTTGTACTAATTTCTTGGAGGAGCTCTCAAAGAGTAAGTCTAGTGTGTACTCAAGAGCTACTTCTGACATTGGCACAGAACTGAAGGCCTGCTTTTTCTTCCCACGGACTCCAGGTGGATATCTGGCTCCCTTGCAGTGTTCTGTGGCCCAATGGCATAGTTTTTCTAGAACCTGTTTTATCTACAAGACAGCCCTTTTGTTCTTGGCTTTGAGCAGGAAACCTGGTTCCAGCTCATGGGGCTGAGCCCATATCTCCCATCCCCAGAGAGGCATTAAATTCCTGATTCTGATACCCTATGGGACACTGCTTCAGCTTGTGATAAGTGAGGCCTGAATATTCAGTGACCGGTTGTGAGAAACCCAACAAGAATTTTTTAGGTAAACTTTTTATTTAAAATCTAACATTCTGGGCCAAGGATTTAGCTCAGTGGTTTCGCCGCCTGCTGTGCAAGCGCAAGGACCCGAGTTCAATCCCTGGTACCAAAAAAATAAATAAATAAAATAAAATAAAATCTAACATTCTTTTTTTTTTTTAAACCTAACATTCTTATAAAAAGTGCACAGATCATGAGTGAATAACCTGATGAATTTTTATACAGTGCATATATTTGTACAACTGCCACACAGACCCAGACATATCACTTTACCAGAAGCCCCACCAGGAACCTCCTCAGGCTCCCTCCAGTCACTGTTCTCCACCCAGAGGTAACCAATATTCTAATTTCTAACAGAATAGATTAAATTACCACCATTCTGCATTTTATATACGTGGAATCATACTGTGCATACTCTTCTGTTTCTGGCTTCTTTCTCTCATCATATTTGTGAACTTCACTAGTGTCATTTCGTGTAGTTGTGTATTTATTCTCCTCACTATATGGTATTCTATTTTATGAAAATACTGCAGTTTTAAAACACATTCTAGGGGAGGCACCCACAGTCTGCATGAATGGAGCTGGTGCCTCTGGAGTAGAAAAGGGACATCTCCCTGCCAAGAGAAGGGACAGGGCAGGGCCCACACTAGCCTGACCCACAGTGTGCCCCTGCTGCCAGAGCAGCCATGACTCCAGCCCCAGCAGCAAGCTCCAAAAGAAACAAAGCAGTAAATCTTGTCCCATTCAAGCAGACAGAATATGAAACCAGAGACATGGAGCCAAGGACCAGGACTCAGTGGGGTTTGCACCATCTCCTGCCTGTCCCCTGGTGGACTATGAAGAGCCAAGTGTAAGTGTGCACCTGTGCTTGAGATGAAATATGAGACCACATCTCTGTATCACCACTAAACACATGAGCTGAGGACTAATATTCAGTGGCCAGGACTCAGTGCCAACGCTTTCCTTGACCTTAATCCAGTTGATGAAGTTGTTCACATTGAAAGTATATATTTTGGCTGTAAGACATAATAAAAGGGTTTTTACTCTTTTAGTGTAACCTCTAAAAAAAAAACCCAGAAAACAAAAAACACATTCTAGGGCCGCGGATTTAGCTCAGTGGTTTCACCACCTGCTGTGCAAGCGCAAGGACCCGAGTTTGATTCCCAGTACCAAAAAAAAACAAACCCATTCTAGTTTTGCTAGATATTCCTCCATGTTGG